GCCTCCATTGACGGGCTCGTTGAGACCTCGCATGGCAAGAAAGTGCTTGATAAGCGTGACCAAGGCCGGCATGGCGGGATATTGGTTCTTCCAGCTTTTGAACGTCTCAAGCGCAGTAATGCCCGTCGAGTTCTCAAACGAGATATCAACCTTGAGGCCCGTCGTCTGGTCAACGTACTTGACAATTGGCACCTTGGCGTGCGAGATGACTTCGACATTGTCCTCGTATGCCTTGCCGTTATTAACCAGCATCTGTTGGAGCGCAAACAGAACCGATTTCTTGTCGTATTTCGCGACTCCGGAATTCCTGAAAGAGTCAGACATGAAAACCAAGTCCATGTCTGCAGTGGGCAGGTAAAGGCCCGAGGGATACGATCCGAAAGGATAGAATTCGGCATCTTTACGAAAGACCGCGCGGGAAAACTGCTTGAGGTCCTGGATAAGTGCTTCGCGAAGCTTCCCCTCGAACTCACGAGGCTTGACAAACTCGTAGAAGTCAACGATGTCTTTATGAAGCCTATAGGAGTGGATTAGCCAGCTGAACAGTCTTAACACGGGAAAGTACGCTTACCAGACGCCCATTTTTGGGGTGGTGGAATGGTCGTCCACCTGCCACGGGTAAGGGTTTTCTCCCTCCTTCTCGCGCCATTTAGACAGGATGAGGCCACCAGCCGGAGCCCTGGCGGGCTTCTCAAGAGATGCATGTGGAAGTTGGTTGTACTCGTCGTATGTACGCTTCCGGCTGTTGCGCGAATTGCGGTCGTCGTCATTCCTGGCTTCGGACTTCTTACGGAACTCAACTTCCCGGATTTCCTGGACCTCGTCGTCGCTTTCGTCCAGATCGAACGAGATGAAGTCCTCGGCCGAGGTGGGAAGAGAAGGCTTGATGTCCTTCGCGGGGACGCGAGCCTTACGGATCATTTGCACGACATCCTTCTTCTTTGTCTGCACGCCAGCCTCTGCAGGAAGCGCGCTATAAGGATCAGAGTTGGACCACTTGGGAACTGAGTCGCCAGACGCTGCCTGGCTTATACTTAACCGAGCACGCTTGTTACTCGGCTCGGCCGGGCCATCTGCTTCGTCACCCGAAATGTCCATTTCGGCTTCGTCGCTGTCAGTTAGGTCGATGACGGGTCTGTACGTAACTCCACCCTCGGTACTGAAAAGCTCTTGCTCGGTCCCAGTGGAGTGGGAGGCTTTGAGCAGGTCGCGCTCCGCGGGAATCCAGGAGTGCCGAGGTCTTCTCTGGCCATTTTCTTGTTGCCAATGATGCCTCGGTCCGCCATTCTGGTTTCGGCGATGCTGGGGTCCACGATGGCCATCGGTATACGACTGCTGTATTCCAGGCGGGGCGTCGGCGCGGAAAGAGAATGAGCCTTGAGGGGGTCGGTACGTGTCACGCGTTGCTGGAGGCGGCGGATCGCTGGGGAGAGGCGGCGGTGCATAATTAGGAGGGGGAGGGGGGCGGGGTGGGTTGGCAGCACGAGAGCCCCGATCTGATCCGCGATAATCGCTCTGGGAAGGGAACGGGGGAAGGGGACGATAGGTGTCATGGCTGTCACCAAATAATCTTGGATTTGCGGGGGGGCGCGGTGGAAGGGAGGAAGGAGGACCAGTGAGTCGGGAAGGGCGAGGTGGGAGCGAGGATTGCGAGCGGCCGTCGCGGTAGTCACCGTCGCGGTAGTCGCGATACAATGACGACCGGTAGGAGCCGCCGCCATTAGGCGGATAGCGATCTCGATATGACATCGTGTCGTCAATAACGTCACTCTGACTGTACGGGACGATGAAGACTGGCGATGTGCGAAATCAAGGAAAGGTTGATGCGACCCGCGCTGAGAATTCTTTGGTTTTGGGCACCGAGCTTTTTTTAGGGTGGGGGAAAAGAAAGCCTGCAGGGCTGCAGGGAAAGGAAAGAAAAAGGGCAAGGCCGGTGAGGCTAGTCGACAAATAGGGTTTAGTCTGCTCCAGCTTCCCCACTAATACTGCAGCAGCAGCAGTGGCAGGCCCGTGACGAGCGAGCAGCACCCCCACAAAGGTACCGTATCCACTCATCTAATACACACTCAACTAATGCACGACTTTCGCCAAATTTGCTGGATATCACTTCGAGCGCACGAGCCATGCGCGAGCTGTCAGTATCCTCAACTAGCCAATGTTGTGTTTGTATATATGTCGTGCATTAGTTGAGTATGTATGGTACACCACCTGGGAAGGAACCACCTAAGGTGAATTTGCTCGTGCTGGCTGCTATCAATAATTTTTATAGCTGTGTAGACTACAGTTTTGTAGAGCAAGTGAGAAACTAGAATTATTAATTAGAATACCTGATGCAGAGGCAGCTAATGATTCACGCACGGGCTTAGCTGTGGAATACGGAGTATTTCACGGGCGGAATTCCACAAATACCGGTAGGATCTTGCCTCCAATTTAAGGTACTATACTTTCCATATGTATGCCGGTATGACTCTGTCGGTGCCGTTCTATTGTTCGACTTTTTGCTGTACCGGGGCAAATGGTTGTTGTTACCTTAATTGTGTTCATTGTGGCGCGTGCGTGGTAATGGGTATAAGCCATTTCACTTTGATGATAGATCTAGCTGTGGAAGTCGCTCCTAGAGCAGACAAAACAAAACATACTTCTTGTTTCGGTCAGTGGGTACCCATGTTGAGACTCTGGCTAGAACAAAACACTGCAACTCAATTCTATTTATACTGGACCAGTGCGAGTGATGAACCGTGCCGTTACGGAGTCGAGGCAGACACGCTATAGTCTCCCTCTAGAACTCCTACCGGCTCTACGCTACCTTGCACAAGGTAGGTAGGTAACCGCGCCAAGTCAAGAACTTTTAACAAGGCAACTCCAACAGAAGAAAGCATACAAATCCACTCGACATCAACATCCAGCACAATAGCCAAGGCCCCCCCAAAGACACCAGCCTAGGCAGCCCAGCACAAGGGACCCCAAGTCGAGGCCATTTGAAGCTCGGCACACCCTTCAGGGTGTTATGAGGGAGCCTGTACTAGAGCGTCTCTTTTACTAAGCAGTGTGAACTGCAGTCTTGCTAAACCGGACTGGCCCCTGGCAAATGATCCAGACACGAATGATGTGGGCCTCCTAGATCTCGTCGGATCAAGGGGTGGGTGGGAACACCGAGACTAAGGAGCAGCTTACTTTTCCGGTCTACAAGCGCACATGTTAGCCAGAGGGCCTATTGTAGACCTGGCGAGTAGTTATGTCCAGCTTCCGAGCTTATATCCAAACCATCTAGGGTATCATGAGTCCACCCTCAGGCCCGCGGCGAATTTCCGTGCCACCCAGGCAGCTCCGTGTTCCTCGTACTCTTGCTTGGTGACGGCAAGCCTCTCGACGTGCTCGTGCCTGGCAAAGTTGGCAGCTCCTATCCAGGTGCTTGCGATGGGGTCGGCTGGGCAGGCCACTCTGACGATGCAGGCGTCTGGCACCCTCTTGAGAATCTCAGTCTGCAGGCGCTGGATGAAGTTTGGGATCAGAGAGTTTCCCCCCACGACCACAATGTTGGCCAGCAGACCGGGCCAAATACCTATTGGCAGCACCGAAAGCGATTGCATGATGATATCTGCGAGGCCAGGCTGCCGCATGCCAATGTCGGAGGGGTTGAAGAGTATCTCGGGAACCACAAAACGCTCGTTCCGCAGAGTCAGGATGTCTTCGGCAGACACCCCCCCCTTCCGGGTCCGGGAGAGGCGGGCGGGGTCGTACTCCTGTACAATGCCATGAAACCGTGTGTGAGAGTCTGGCAGAACATAGTCCATGGCAATGCCGGCACCGTTTATGTAGTCTTCTCGACGTTCCCCTTGGGTACCCTTCCACGACTTTTCAAGGTCGCCATTGAAGTCGAGCGACGCATAGCAGGCGGCCTCTTTCATCTCATTGACGACATACGGGTCATTACGCATATCGAAGTAACGTACAGATATCAGGCGTGTGAGGTAGTTTGTCATGAATTTCCCGCCCACGTTCAACCTTCGGATGGCAGGGTGCAACGGCCGGCCCTGGATGATAGGCGTGACCGTCGTGTGTGAGTATCCAGAGTCGACAAGAAGCATGACCTCGGCAGGGATGTCGACGGTGGTTTCTGGTGTCTTCGGGGTTTGAAAGATGGCTTGGATGTCTTGGTATGCGTTGAAAGCCGGGCCTGGAGGAGGGAATCTGGTCAGCATGGCCGTGGCGACAAGACGGGGATAGTCAGACAGAGAGACGCACCGATGCCACGGTAGTAGCTGGCAAATCCAAACTCCTCAAACACCATCTGGTCACAATGCACCTGCAGGGCTGGCAGCGAGTTTGGCTGCTCGGCTAGGACCAAGCGCGTCTCGGAGGGGTTGCATTTCTGGGGCGCCTTGTCGTCGAAGAACTCGCGATCCCATATTTCTTTCTGGGCCTCCCAGTTGACAATAAATCCCTTCTCGACCGGACGCCGGAGTGCAAGGTCTCCAAAGTCTTTGCACTTGTCGAACTCGGATCCGACGTATATCTTCTTGTGGCGGTCGCGAGCGATGCAGTTCGGAATGATGCGCGGGGCCGGTGTGCTAGCGTCGTTGTCGCTGTTGCTGCTAGCGCTGTTGCGCTTCACGAAGCCAGCCTTGATGGTGTTGGCGCCATTGTCGAGAACTAGTGTAATTGAGGGAGGCACCGGGCCTGCGGATCGGGGCTTCCGACTGCCTCCAGCCATGCCAGCGGGCGGGGCGTGTTTGTTGCGGGCAGTCTCGCGATGCACGCGGTTGTTGCTCCGTAGACTTCACCTTTGGCCCAGACCAGGGCGTATTTGCCGGCCCCGAGAGGTGGGTTGAGTAGTGGGGCTGTCAGCTTCTGCCGGCCCGTCAAAATTTGAAGGGTCCGTCACAAGTCAGGAACTGTAAAACACCACAAAAAAAGAGAACTGATTGATCCCTGCCCTGCACGATATATAACCCTCACTTAGGTCATCAGCTCAAAAGGCAAACACCAGACTCACAATCGGCTGGATGGTGGAGTGGTCTAACACGCTAGTCTCAAGAATCATATCTTGACCCCGAAAAGGGGATGCATGCATACTAGTCTCGCAAGAGGCGTGGGTTCGAATCCCACTCCAGTCAGTCAAGCAATATTTCTCTCCTTCTCAGGAAGAGAGTTTCTTTTTTGCCCTTTATGGCAATTTTACTCTTTTGGAGAGAGGAAACAAGAATACCACACACAATCTTTTGCCCCGCGAAGAAGTTATTTAATTCCTCAGTTTTTAATTTGTTAATTATTACAATGTGTAACTATTCAGAGCGTTCTGCACGTATTGTTCAGCTGAACGGAGCCACCGTAGGCGAGCTTGCGAGCCGGAGGTGGCGTAGAGAGGCTGTCTCTTCTCTTTTACCGTGAGGGTGCCGAATGTTTCTCGAATGGGGATTGGTCAGTTTACGTCCGTGTCAAAATGGGAGGTGGGAGGTGGGAATTGGTCAATCGGATAAACCTCAGACTCCTTAAGCCGCGGAATACCGAGCGCAGCGAGCAGCCCGCCGCAGGCGCCCCCGGAGGGCCGCCGGAGGCACCGTTCAGCGACCCCTTCCTGACTTGCCAGGTAGCTTATTTTAAGTTTTCTCGTCGGGTTGTTGGCTGTCCGCAAGGTGAGCACAACCATGGAGGTCTGTTATATTTTTGCTAGCCCCAGCGAGCACTTTGACAATTGTCAAAGGCAGCGTGGGGGCGGTGCAGGTGTATAATTGTGTTTTCCCTCTTCATCAGTTCTAAATCTAGTTAGCAGGATGCTTTACTTTGAAACCCTTCGTCGTTTAATCTTAATTGCATGAATAGGTAAATGAGAACTTCACATCCTCCTCTCATCTCTTCTCATGGCCTGCTCACCTGCTTGCGAGAACACAACTGACGTAATAGCTCTAGAGCTGATACAGAGGACATGAATGCATCGGTGCCCATGTAAATGCCAGTTCGACACTACGAGTATTGGCTCACACATGGTCCTCGTCCACCTAGGTGAAGAAATCATCTCTTAGACACTGCTAGCCGATTAGGTATATAGGAAAGGTATGGAAAAATACAAGCATACTGCTACGAGGCTGGCGAGGATGCAAGACCGAGTTAAATAGAATTACCGTAATGGAATTCGAAACTCGATACTGGTTGGGTACTCCTTTTTGTTTACTCCTTTCTTTCGCATTATGGCACGTGTAGATAGTCCCAACATGTTGGTTGCTGTGTTACCACTTAAAACATTTATCAGAGTGCGGAGATGGAGTCGGAGATGAAATTTTTGACTCAGCAAGAACCAGGCACATCGCAAGGCGGATTCAGCAACATGAGCATAACTGCCAGCCCTGTTCTTCGCGGAGTTTTCCTTCTGATCACACCATCGTCACCTCATGCCTCACCCACGGCGCCTCACCCACGGCGTAATCAATCTTATTTCCCCTCGGCAATGGACGACCCCTACGAATTCCGTCCACTCCCCGACGCGTCGTGCCACATGCGGCTCCTGATTCTGATCGGAGCCGACGAGGCCAGCGAGCCTGTCGAATGCAAGATGCGGGTGGTCGGGCTCGGCGGCCAGCAGCCGGGGGAACATATTCCGTACGAAGCCCTCTCGTACACGTGGGGGTTGGACGTCCACGACGAGCCCGTCCGCGTTGACGGACGCCCTCTGCGGGTGACGCGGAATCTCTACCACGCCCTCGTGCGGCTGCGGCGGCGTGCGTCCTCTGGGTCGACGCGATCTGCATCAACCAGGACGACGACAACGAGAAGAGCCAGCAGGTCCGCGAGATGCGGCACATCTACGGCCGCGCCGCAGTCGTCGTCGCCTGGCTGGGCGAGTCGTCGGACCCGGACGTGGACGCCGCCATGCGCTTCCTGCAGAGTCCCGCCGCCAAGTCGTTCGAGAAGCTCAACGTGCTCGACGACTACCCGCTCGCAGGCCTGGCCACGACGCCCGACGGAGAGCTGGACTCGGTCGCCGCGGCGCGCGAGCTGACCACTGCGTTTTTCAAGGGAGCCCTGGACAAGATCGGGTCCGCAGCGGAGCATGATTTCTCGTCCGGCGGCGCGGCAAAAACCTAGCTGAGGCTGGCGTTCCCGGGCCTTGCGAAACTGTTCCGCAAGGACTGGTTCTCGCGTGTGTGGGTGGTTCAAGAAGTCCTCGGCGCCAAGGTCGACCCGTTTGTCCTCTGCGGAGATGCCCAGGCGTCGTGGAAGACGACGCAGGCTGTGGCCTTGCAGCTGGCGTCCGACGATAAACTGAAACACGCGCTTCTCCCAGAAGGCTTCCTGAACATGGGCGTGCTGAGCATGACGCACGGATTCCCGTTCCAATCCCTCGAGCACCTCCTCAAGGCCACGGCCGAGTGCTAGGCCACGAACCCTAGCGACAATGTCTACGCGCTGCTGGGGCTTGTCCACCGCAGCGAGGCCATTGCCGTCGACTACCGCGTCCCCGCGGCGCTCGTCTACCAGCGGGCCATGACCACAATCTTCAAGACGCGCCAGGACCTCCACTGGCTTGCCTATGCCTGCGGGGCCCAGCACCAGCAGCCAGAAGTCCCGTCTTGGTGCGTCGACTTCTCTAACGAGATCTGGCTGCGGGACAAGCTCGAAGACGACTAGCGCGTGACCGCCGGGCCCTGGCCCACCAGGCTTCCCTGGGAAACCGGGGCCTCTCACGGGCGGTACCCGCCCACCTACTCCCACGACGAGGCCACCGGCACCCTCGCAGATTACCGGGAAAGTTGTCGGAGTTGTAAGCTATTCGCAGGCCCCAAGCGCGGGGGCAGGACTGGACGTATTTTGTCAGTGAGTGACTAGATAGCCCCTAAATTCCAGAAGGTCAGCAACAGAGCCAGCATAATAACGCCATTTCCCATCTAGATGACGCCTACCAATTCCTCGCTTGCGCGCTCCCCAAGTTCAAGCGGCGAGTCGGGCTGGACGCCGCGGCATCGCGCATGGCCGCGGGGCTCCTCTGGCGGACGATTGGCCGGGGCGAAGTCTTTGACTTTTTGCTCAGGAGCGAGCATCGCAATAAAAACAGTAACACTAATAATAACAACAACAAAGCTGCCGCCGCCGAGAGTCTGCTGTTCAGCGCCGCCGGCAAAGGCAGCACCATGTTTGACAACATGGGATGCCACCAAGACGGCGGCGGCGGCGGCGGCTACGCTTCTCTCGAAGCGCATTCACAGAAGCTGCTGCAGCCCAAGTTCCTCTGCCTGCGCGAACCGTGGGCGCACGAGGCCAGCGAGCACACGTCGCTCGCCAACAGCGCCGCCGAAGAAGCACTTGGAGCACTTGCGCACAAGGCGGCCGGCAGCCACTACTTCTCGACCGACACGGGATACTTTGGGGTATCGGGGCACCGTGTGTAGTGCGGCGATGTACTGTGCGTTGTGTTTGGATGCAAGTGGCCGGTTGTTCTCCGACTGCGTTGTGCAGAGCAGAAGGGTCTAGGAGGAGGAGGAGGAGGAAGCTTTTCTCTGGTTACGATCGCGTACTGCGACGACATCATGCACGGCGAGGCTCTGGGGGCGGCAGAGTCGGATGTCACGCGTGAGAGGGCGTTGCTGTTGCGGTAGGGGGAGTGACAGTGCCATGTTTACTGCGAGAAAACGGATTGCATTTATACTGAGGGACTCGAGCTGCTGATTAAATTACTTGCAAAATAGGAAGGCAAGACGGCGTTCCTTTAACCTGCCACGCCCGCTGGCGTCCCTGCTAACTCAAACAAGCTGGGTATCTAGACAATCTCTGCGCTATTCTTGGTCTCGGAATTCGTCTCGTGGTGCTGTGCTGTGCTCTTCAGCTCGGCGGAATTGTTCCGGCTCGCTAGCAGCTGCTTCTCGTCAAAGGCCTCGTCCTGGGCCTCGGCGTCGAGGTTGCCGTAGCGCCCAATCTTGTACCAGGGCAGGTCGAAGAGCCTGTTCATGGACTCGAGGCTGCGACCACCCGTCTCGGGGACGATGAACCACACCCACACGGCGCCTAGGATGGTCACGGCGGTAAAAAACCAGAAGGTGCCCAAAGACGAGATGCCGCCCTGGGAGGTTGGCAGTAGCAGGACGGGCACCGCGCGGGAGTTGCCATACTGGTTGGCAAAGTGGAAGGCCATTGCCAGGGAGGTGCAGAACGCGCGGATGCGGAGAGGAAACAGCTCGGCCGTCAACAGATACTGCATGCTGTTCCAACCGAGAGCCCAGCCTACACCCGACAAATATATCATGGCGATGGCGCCCTTGGAGGGCCCCACCTCGGACGATGAGAGCGTGTAGCCTGGATCACGGCCAAGTTGGGGCACCGACGTCAAAAAGGCGGCGACATAGAGCACCGAGATTGCCTGGAGGGTGATGCCCAGTAGCAGCGACCGCTTGCGGCCGATGAAGTCGACGAGGAACAAGGCGCAGATCACGGCTGCGACCAGCTTCACGATGCCAAACACGGCCGTCACCAGCAGCGACTCGTCGGTGCCCGTGATCCCGAGAAGGCTGAACAGGTCGGGGGCGTAGAGGGTGATGGAGCCCGCGCCAGACCACTGGGACAGGATCTGAGCGCCGATAGCAATGCCAACGCGATACAGGTTGCTGGAGATGGTGAAGGCCTCCCTCAGGATGCCCACGAAGCCGGCGCCCTTGGTGGCCTCCATCTCGGCGTGGTGGCTGAGGGTGATGGCGTTGACCTCGCGGACGACGTACTCGTGGTCTGAGGGCAGATTTCGCAGGCGCGACATGACCTCGAGGGCCTTGTCATGCTTGCCAGACTTGATCAGGTAGCGCGGGGTCTCGTACTGGAAAAAGGTGAGGACAAAAATAAGGCCGGCAAACATGATGTGCAAACTGGTCGGAACAAGCCATCTGTTAGGGGTGGTGTCGCCAATGTTCAGTTGACAGCCGTAGTTGGTAAAGTACGCAAGGACGATACCCAGGTAGACGAAGCCGGTGAAAAAGCAGGTGCACAGGCCGCGGATGCTGGCCGGGGCGATCTCGGCAATGTAGATCGGCCCGACGACGGCCGTCTGGCCTACTCCAAGACCGGCGATGAACCTGCCGGCATAGACGGCACCAAGGCTGTTGCCGTGGCCCATGAAGATGGCGATGCCAAGTGCCCA